ATATATATATATATATATATATATATATATATATGTATATATATAGTATTTGCGGTAGTTTACGAACATACACTTAGCCATTTAAATCAAAGGCATTCGAATGGAAATGCAGTTGCCATAAAATAACACCGCACAGCACGGAAAAATCCATAGTTTCTTCACACACCACGATATTACGCAGTTGCCCAAGCAGAATCGGATGGTCCACCCAAGTGGTTCTCAGCCACATTTGGTTGGGAGAATGCAACATAGCCTCTACCTCCTTGATTGCTTTTCCTTATGGTATTTCATGTGTGGTAAGTCTTTACATGTGCTGGTTCGCGTGGAATCGTAGAGGAGCATCGGCAGTGACAGTATGTGGTACTAACGTAGCTCCACCTTCTCATCACCGCCAGTAGTGTGGGACTTAGCGATGCTGCTAGGACACCGGCGATTGCGGAATCTCGAGCCGGTAACGGGTGAACTGCAACTCGGAATTCAGGACCACTTGACCACCGGACTACAGGTTGGACCACAATGCCTTCACAAACCAATTTTGGTAAATTCATGATTGCTAATATAGCGTCACCCCTTAAGATTTTCCGCGCTGATGATTGGCATTCGCCCATGCCATTGGAGTCTAAAAAGTGACAAACATCGACTCCGAATGGCCCAAATATTGTTGACCTACATGTCAATATGGAACCCGTTCCGTTCAATTGTGTCGACTGGTTTACCATGGTAACATTCAGGAAATCTAATCCAGCATTTATTCTGAAGTCAATGCCCTCCATTTTCATTTACATACTTCATTTAAAGTAGGGGCGGCCTATGTTATATTTAGCTAAATTCTTTCGGCCTCAGTGAGGCAGAATAGATTACCTTCTACTGAACGAGGGCTTTCGATGAACTTAACTGTTTGATGTTCGACACATGCAACTAAGTCTTCGGCAATAACTAGAGCCGCCTTACTTTCCGACTTATTCATGCTATCTTGGGTTCAGTCATACAGTGCTCCTCTGTAGAGTTTCATGCAACATGTACTGATTCCCTAGCACGATAAAACTAACTGTTCTGGATAATGCATACGACATCGTCAGGCTGTCTGGCGGTCGCAGCGATGCAACTACATAGGTTGGAGCACTGTTTACATCTTTTTCGCTCTTTCGGACTAAAGCACGCCGTTACAAAGACGATAATATCTTCCCTGTCTTGGAATCTGGATGAGGTGAAACTGAATACATCGAATCAACTATTTTTATCCACAGTAATATTAACTCTACAAGCAGTTCACTTGCCGCACACGCTTAAGCAATCACAAAGTATTTGAGATTTTGGGCCTTGGAAAGATATTTCTGTTAATTTTGTAAGTCCTATCTACGGAGCCAAACTACGGTCAGGTCATATGGTATCGTGGCTCGCAATCTTACTCCAGCAATCCAGACAGTTTCAGGTCTTTGAACACATTTGTCTACGTGGCGTTGCCGATGTTGGAGCAGCTCCGGTTTGGGTGCGCAGCAGTGAACATGGTAGGCTGGCTTAGGAAAGGTAAAAAAGCACAAGCTTAACACCTACGTAGGTTGGTAGAGAAAGCAATTTCAAATTCGAATACTACATAACATGACCAAATTAAACGCGCAGCAGTGAATGGGTATAATAATGACATAAAAATAATAGCGTTTCGGGAGTGGGATGGTACCATGCGAAAAGGATTTACGAGTTGTTGTGATTATAGGTAATAACAAATAACCATCGAATTTCCGACCCATCTACACAGATTTACATACCTCACTATGGGTTATAATTCCAATGTAGCTAGTTGGCCTTACTATCTATCCAGAATGTCCGTTCATGTAACCAAATGTAAGCAGCTCGGTGCAATATAAAATCGTTTTGTTGAAAGTAACTGAGGGAGGGCATGTCCAATAGAATTTGCAATGGCGTTCTAGGGCTGGCGGACCCGGAAGTAGTAGTAATTTCCTCCTCAATCTGGACAACTGTATTGCTGTGTCAGTTTCAACATATTACCTCTGAGGTTAAGGTTCGCGCTGAGTTTCACAAGTTGGCGGCATACATGACCGGAGTAGTTCAGTATTTGGTGAACTACTATGAGTTCACCACGTAACCACCGGTATCGTCCACTGGACACTCGCAGTTCCGTCAGTCGTTCCTGGTACGAAAGGTGGCGCGAACCGTTGACGTTTTTCTCTGCTTGACATCGGAGGTCTCTACCGTTGTGATGGTCATGCTTTTCCCAATGTTACCAACTCGAGATATCGTACTCGATGTGAGGACACACGTTAGCATTGAGCATCATTGCGATGACGAATAAATTTAAATACATAAATGCCCTCCACAAGAGATCAACATGCACTCTGGAGCAACCGAGGTCGTCCTCCACCAGCACATCGAAGTCACGTTCATGAGAATTTGTCTGAAGATCGTGCGCCCCAAGCTTGTAGATGTAGGCGTGTCGATGGTGGATGCGGACGATGAGACACTTCTCCAGCTTGAATGTCAATGTGTTCTTGACATACCAATTCCAACCCTCGCCGAGGTCGCGCAGTAAGTCTTCATGATTGTCCATTCCCTTGACCTCCCACCATACCCTAACATTGTCCGCGAAGAATGAACCTGATTTGATAACGTCCACAAGATGGTTGATGAAAACCAAGAACAGGTGCAAGCGAATCACCAAACTCTGCGGTACACTCCACTCCACTCTAATCGGGTCATCAGAGATATTTGAAGTCTAACCTCCAATTGGCTTTCACGAAGAAAGTTACAGATCCATCCTTTTACTGGATCCCCTATGCCGTAGTGCTGTGTTTGTGCAGCAGGATTCGTTGATCCAAATGATCAAAGGACTTTGAAAAGTCCACGTAGATAACATCGGCTCTTGTCCACTGTTTTGATCCGGTTCTCAAGCGCTATCACCTGATTCGTGATACATAATCTATGTTGAAGAAACCCTTGCGCAATGATGCCGTATTTGCCAAGGTAACGCATCAGTCTGTTTGTGATGACCATTTCCACGACTCTCACGAGTACAGGGAGAAGCGCTACCTGGCAGTATTGGCAGGACCAGATCAAGTTCTTCCAATGTAAACGTGGGTTATACTACCCCGTTTCCACTTTGACGTAGCTGTGATCTCAACTAGACAACGCTGAAAGTATCCAGCTAGGTGTATGGCTGATACCTGCAGTGCATTGGGTAAATGTTATCCACGCCACGAGAGCTGTATGTACACAAGGAGAGTAACTTTTCAGCACAGTTTCTGCTATGAATGGAATGTCGGATAACACTGATGATGAAGTAACGGAAGGAGGAATAGCATTCGAGGGGTGTACCCTTTGGAAAGTAGCTGAATACTGGGCTCGTAAGTAGTTGGCCCTCTCTCTCTTTCTCTCTCGCTATGTTTATATATAAACCAACCGTAGTGAGCGGCGGGATTATGCACATAGCTGTATACTAATTGGCGATCTTCAGTTTGGCTTGTCATATAAGCACTGCATGTAGGTAGGCTGCGTTGGTTATTTCATGGGGTGCACCTGCTTACCTACCACTTACCCGACGGAGAAACACTTAATGAAACTGATGCAAGGGGCTGCACCATTTCCTGAGGCTACTTCGATCGCTGACGGTGGAATTTTGTGTGTTGCTACTTCTTTTGTTGCAGCTTTGGTTTAACTTGACACTATACCGCCTTAACAGCATTCGGCACCGGTGACATGTTCACGGAGACTTATCTGGACTGCTTCTTTAACCCCTGCATAGAACTGAACTCTCGGTAGGTTGAAGCTGCTTATGATACTGGACAGTTATTACCGAGAGCCAGGTGAGGCACAAACGCTGTCTTGTTTTCTCACGGGAGCCAGGCGTCGATGATTGTGTATTGTTAGTAAGAATTTCACGCCGTGGTACTACGAAATTGTCTGGTGAAAACAAGTCCTACATCCCGTTCTACCCTCCGCTCTTCTTAGCGCACTCTATGTTCCTGGGATTCTGATTGTACGACAGCACATCTTAAGCCTCTAATACCCACATACCATTTTCGATAATCTTACATCCAACAGTGAATCCTCTTACTTTTATTGCATTAGCAGCAGCCCAAGTACGATGTTGACCATTCCTGACACTGTGTGCTCTGATTACCTTGAGTACGTTATTTATTGCCGTCCATTGAAGAAATCAACTGAAAAAGATACTAAAGCAGATTAATGCTGATTACTTTTCGTGTTTACGTGCATGATACGCGCACTCATTGCTAGGAGGGAGCAAGAAAGCTTATAGTCACAAAAAGAGTTAGTAATATAGAAAGTGTAAATCTACTTCTCACAAGTGACGAGTGAGCACCACCCACCCCGTCTAGATTTTGAAGCTTTCTGGAGTCCGTAGAATTGTAAGTAGGAAGAACCTTGTTTGAAATGTGCAGGTGGTGTACAACTACTTGTACATCACTTTGATAACAAGCATCAGACCAAGGAAAGTTCGGTTCCAAATTTTCCTAGACAGACAGTGAAACTTGTCATTTCAATGCCATTAACCTGTGTCAACTATAGGATCTCGATTATCAACTCACACCCACGCCATTGACGTGGTTCCAAGCAGTACGGAAACGTTTCCAGCGTAACGCGACTCTTCGCACACAAGCTTTGTTAAGCGATATTATCTCACACACACTGTTTGTAAGTTGGGAATGTGACGTTATCGTTCATGTCCAGGGTATGCGAGTAGGTGAATTCGGATCATCAGTGGGTGTTGACTAGAGAACACCAGTTCAAAACTTTGACTTGAATCAATAGTGGGAGCTAGGTAGCAAACACAACACTTCCTCATCCATTCAGGAACGAAGACCGTAAGCTAATTGGGGCTGCGAGGCATAGGCATAATGCCGCATTACTTTCCTGATCCAAGTGAGGGCTGACGATAAGTACATCAATGAGCAAGTCATGCACAGGCTAACCAAGCTCTACCTAATCACGTAAACTTTATACATGCCTCCAATTGCTATGTGCAGGTGGGGACATGTCAATAAAATGGGGGTTAAAAGAAGAAACTGGAAGTACCCGTAACCACCCCATGATTGACACGTTGACTGGTCGCCCAATATCTCCGCACATGCCGAGAGAATTTCGATTACAAACGAACCGACCGACCGGTCGGACACAATACAGTGACGACTTCCAAGTGCATGAAACGGTGACGGAAAAAGAAGCTCGTCTGCGTACTGCCTTGTTGAAAGACGGGAAAGGAAACGGGGTCATCAGCTGGAATGTTTGCCCACCTGAACACACACATGTGGATTCAGAGAGTGTAAGTTCTTGTAGTTACTAGCCAAAAATGGTTGGTACAATGTGCATTATTAGGTATACTGGTTATAAAAACCTTAATGACTGCAGGCTTGCATTTTGTATCTTAAGTTTTGAAATCGCCGGGAATGGGATACAAACGTTAAACTGATTGGTGCGCCAATGGTTGTCTACTTAGCTTTTCAAACTATGATCAGAAACGGAGTCCTCATATAACAATTGTTTGAACAGTATATTGATGTCTGTGCGAAACTGAAGACAGTTCATCCACCAATCAATTGTTATGGAAAACGATAGCAATTAAAGCACCGTGATTTTATCTGAATGTAGCGTCATGTTTTTATCATAAAGTTGGGGATGAGAACCAGTGCTATTAGCAATGCCATTAAATCTTTTACTTTTATAGATAGAGAGTGATAAGATACCTGGGGAAAGACCGTAAAACGACAGTAAACAGTTTATGATGCGCTACCAACGAGTGTAGACTGAGCCTGGAGAACGCGGACCAATTAAATATGTTTGTCACTTCCTTACAATAAACGTTTGCAATATGATTCTAATTACTACCCTGTTTATTCTGCATACACCCTTATTTCACCGAAACAATGACTAATGAATTGTTTCGTTTAATTTTAGTGGAGTTGTGGGACGTCGATACCTCTGACAAACCAATCACACAATAGGAAACCTTTGAGCATAGTCTTCTGTGGCACCAGTACCACAGTTACTCTCTTGATTTAGCTCTCACATTTGATTGTAATCTCTAAGCTGTGAAGCAAGTTATTAAGTCACATAAACAACAAATCCATTAAGTTCAAGCTGTCAAATGCACCGTGCAGACGAAAAAGGTGGTGCCTCTGAGATAGCTTCCACTAAGCTGTTAGCAATGTCAGTACTCAGAACAGAATTCTTACCAAGAAAATGCTTAGCATGGAAACAAGCATGGTTTACACACACTTCAGCTAACCATTGTGGTGGATGAGATGCTGCCGGGGAAAAATGCTCGTTCGCCATATCGACCCTTCAATACCACGGCTCCGCCATCAGCCGCGTACAGACTAACCATACTGCCAGTTTGTCCGCACTTATACCTATCCGAACGGGCGACTTTCCCGTTAGATGACAAACGCCTTGCCTTTTTGGCCACTAACTAACCGTTGGATAAAATGTTAAACTTAAAAACACGGAGATGAAATAATATTTGTGGAGCATCAGTAGTTCGTAGTTAAGTGAGGTTGTAAATCAGTTGCTTGCGGATATCATCAGGGCACCCGATGATGGTTAGGAGCAAGGACTCGAAAGGAGGGCAAAGACGTTGTAATCTAGGTGACTACGGCACGTCACCGCAGATCCGCTTGAGATCAGTCTTCCGGTAACAATTCCACAACAGCTCTACATTTTGAGATTTTGACAGAATGATGCCTCAAAAGCTCCGTATGTGCTTTTAAAACGTAGAGGAATTTGTTAGGCCCCTTATGAAATGCTAAGATTGAATTAGTGAAGTGAATGGTGAATTTACATGTTCTTTTGTCTTACACAAAGCAGCGTTTGAAGTTTCAATTAATAAGTAAACCTAGGTCTGTTTACCAACCTTAAGAATTGCTCGAACAATACTTCGGCACGCTTGTTGTGAAGTCAGGTTGCGTTCAAGATGGAACAAGATAAAAACGATTGAGAGCCACGACATATCACTTGTCTTGAGGTAAACTGGCCATCCTCTGGATCGACTTGGCGACATCCTGAAATCGGCTACTCTGGGGCACGATGGACCTGTTACTATCCATCATATGGCGATTAAAAATTGGATTTACGTGATGTATTGAAGTTTGTGCGCTGATACGCAGCGTATCGTCTTTCAGTCGGTTTTTTCGATGCAATCTATTGTCTTGTTGGGAAGGCATGAATTGTGTAGTGAGAAAGTGAGAATGACTGAACACTGGCAAGGAGCCAACTGAGCACATGCACAACTTGTCGGCCCAAGCAAATGGTAACAAGATAGATCAGCCGCCATTGGGACCAACAGTTAATAAACTCTGGGAACCTCACATACCTCGTGGAGACTACACCATTCAATCACCTTATCCGACATAGTGGGCTGCTGCTGCTTCATGGATGTCCAAGTGTGGCTGGTAAACACCAGCAAGAAACAGCTCACATCCTTTTTCATTAAGTAACGGGTAGAATGATTTTCTATTCTTCCTTAACGTGCAGGGGTTGGATAGACTGAAAAATTTGCCGGAGGAAACGTTGAGCAAAATTATGAAAACCGATCCGGCTGAATATCAAAATCTGATCCATCCTTCAAAGTGGAAAAGGCAAGTAACACATATAACTTTTCATTCGTTTACATAGATAAGCACAAATTGACAGCACCAAAACCACGTCCATTGCAGTATAAGCTGGTGCTGTTATTACCAGCATTAGTAGTCGAGACAACAATCATTGTTATGATGTCTTTGTCAGTTTAAGTTATCAGTGCAATCGCAGTGGTTGCCAGATTATGGAGGATCATACAACTTTGCTTTGGTAAAGTGAGTTCGCTTCCTCAAAACGACGGTTGACGATCATGTCTTATGCGCAGGTATTCTTAGCCGTTGTACTCCAAATTGACAAGGGAAACACTGGTAACAAGTTGAACACTCACCGTAACGACTGTGATAACCTATGTATATAGGCAAATGTATTCAAAAGGCGAAATTGTATGGCTAAGAAATTTACGACTGGCTTCCTTCAGGTAGTGAGTTAGGGAACTATGGAGTCGGTAAATTTTAAGCATTTTTTGATGTGGTGTAATTATACATGAGTACACTCTCTGGTGTGCAAGATGCCACATGCTCACGAAGCAAAATTTATTCTTCATATAATTAGTTAGCGAAGCATAACTTGGACTAAATTAACATTTCAGCAAACTTTGCTTGCCACGTTGGAAGACTCAAGTCTACTGAGAATAATTTTCGGCACTACTTTGGCATTATGAACCAATGAATCTAGTTTGGAGAAGGATGATGCATTCAGATGCCATAAATACTAGAAGAGGAATCACCAATTATTGCCTATGAGAGAATCCACACCGTAGTTGTTTACCGAGTGGAGGACATTCTCCTGCGACCTTAGATCGGAGGACATGACAAAACACTATGTGAATTACCTATGTTGTCTCAATCCACTCCCATATGTAATACTTCAAAGACTTATCCACTGTGATATGCGTTACGTCCGGAGTTTCTTGATGAACGCTTAGACAAAAGCCGGTCGGATTCCCGGTTCGTTTATCTATACCCATACGATACAGACCTGCAACTATTTTTGATCAAATGGCAACTGGGATGTATCTGTTCCAGCTACTGCCCGGTGACATGACTGTTCGGAATGTACTCCAAATTACATCGCAAATCTTACGGACGGCCGAAACGATCGCGATTAGGATAACATAACCGGAGCTATGCAAACGAAAAGCTTTACTGCAAGAGCTCCTTCTATCTTGGCCCTAATTAGCTTACCAACTTCCATCACTTCGTGCACTGACAGCGATTGGATGATGCGCTAGGCATTGCGCCGTTCAACCAACACGTGCTCTGTCACATGGTAGGATAGCGGATTTTATCCATCAACTTTTGAATTGGATTTGATTTTACGCGCCGCAATCCATTCACATAAGAAACAAAATGTGCATAATTTCTAGACAAACTAGGACCATCAACAGAGTGGACTACGATAACACAAGCGGGATCATCACTCCTATTCGTGTGGGAGGTAGTTGTACTAGCTCTATCAGGTACCGTTCGTTAACGCTGCTTCATTCACTTTCCAAACTTATAGCATCATTTCTCGCAGTTACGCTGATACAGTATCTGGAAAACCGCAGCATAAGAGCCTCAAGCAATGTGGCTTCCGGCAAAACTGCTCATGTACTAAGAACCTGTTAAATTCGCTCAATAGCTGAACTGAAGCAGTTGATGGTTGAGCAGGAGCCGACGTCATACACTAGGACGACTCAAAACTGTTTGATCTCTTGGACCACCGGATTCTCCTATACAGACTTTAGAACTATTGCTTTGGCGATCGAATCCTGCATTGGATAAGCAACTTTCTACGAGGACATCGATTGGGTATGAAATTAGGAGAATTCCTATTCGACGCTATTTTTGCGGAGTGCGATGTTTACCTCAAGGCTCGGTGCTAGGACTTCACCTATTCTTGGTATTCTTAAGCGATCTACAGTAGGCTGTTGCTCCCGATTTGTTATATTCCGAAGATGATAATAAGATATGGCGAGCGAGCAGAGGACCGCATGACCACGAAGTTCTCCAGCCCGATCGCAGCAAGATTTCGAACTGGTTATTACGGAATATCCTACCATTCAATTTGGATAAATATCGCCTTGTTCACTCACACCATAGGCATGGTTACACGTATTGACTTGAGGCAGACGGATTCTTCATTAGTTCTCAAGAACGCGACCTTAGTGTGCTCATTCAAAGTGACCACAACTGTTCAAAACAGGCTGAGATAGCTGCTAAAAGGAACAACAAGCACGGCATGCTGCGGCGAAAATTCAAGATTTTTGACCCATCAGTCTTCCTAAGGATGCATAACACTTGCTTGCGTCCTCACGTTTAATACGCTATCCGAGCTTGGCTACCTTGGTTGAAGCGCAATCTTGAGGTTTTAGACGTCCGAACGCAGCGCAACAAGGAATGCCAAAGCCCTACTTAATCTGTCTTACCAGCTAAGGCTGAAGCTGCTGGGAGTTTCCAGCATACGCTAACGAAGGCTACTCAGTGCTCTCATATTAGTGTACAAACGATTGAATGATCCGGAGCATGTATGCCGACACTTGCTGAAACTCAGCCACAACATCAACCTCAGAGGTAACTGGAATACCGAAGAGATTATTCCTCACTTCGGATTTGCCAACCTAAGTATTCTCTCCCTAACTCTGTTATCTCTTCCGCTAAACTGAATATTTTCAAAAAGCAGTTGGGTTTTGCCCTTAGCTCCCATCATTTTCGTTAACTAGGTTGTGCTACTTTGGAATATATTGGTCATGCCAGATTTATGTGTCACATGTGGCTAAGGAGACGGTACATGAGTGAGCGTTATTGTTTATGCATCTCGCACAGAATACTCCAAGTATAACTGCTCCCCAATGCTCTTCTATGCATGTATTCAACTCTTATTACACACTACCATTATGTAGCAACGCATTTGCATAACAAACGCTTAACTAGACAACTCACATATCCTTTGATAAGGCAGTTTGCACCCCATCCATGCTACAGACTTGTTAAACCTCTGCTTATTTTCCCCGTGATAAATCATTCTTCATTGCTCGAGGTTTAACATTGTGTATGTGATAACACGCTCACAAAACTGAAAAGGCAGGCCTCTGAGTAAGAGTATTTAGTGCAGTTATTATTATTATTATTATTATTATTATTATTCAGTCGATATAGTCCAAACAAACTAAACAAATCGATGACATCAAGTTCCTTCCTAACAGTGGCATCAAGAAATAACACCGAATGTGATATAAACGGTTCTCTTTGCTGAGCACAGTAGGCCACAGAGCAAGATCGAATTAGGTCAACGACTTGTAACAAAGTTCATGACTAGGTGAAACATCTGTTGAAGTATCCAAAGTCAGTCATTATAGATTGTGCATCGTAAAGCCAGGCAGTGTAGTCAAATACCAATGAGCGATGTTGCTGGATGATGCCCTTGACTTAACAATGCTCATTTTACATATGCACAAGGAAATATATGATAACGATGATGAAATTAATGAAATGTAATGTTCACTGTCCTTCTAAACCGTAAACACCACACTTGACGGTTCCGAACAAAATTTACCCTTATGAAATTAGGAGACGGACTGATATGAAAATGCATGGAATTTCCATTTTGCAGATCCTCGAACAATCAAATAAAAATCTTCATACTGTATTTGATGAGGTTCATGGATAAGTTAAATAATGCGCAAGCAGTCATAATGTATTGGTTCGTTTTCTAGTGCCCGATGAAGAGATTTTTGTGGGTTGTAATTGGCCTGAGGATAGTATTTTTAGTTAATGGTTTGTAGCCTATGTCACTGTTGGGACCTCTATCTGAACGTGTCGTTTGTGGCTACAACGTCATTTTAAAGCTTCCCGCGCGTCAATATCATTGGTAAGTCCCGTGACACTGTGAAACAAAAATTTATTTTCCATAACAGAAATACCAATGTCCCTACCTCATGGAATGTACTCCATTGATTGTAGAAATGTATTTCGTTGTTATCTAGCACGTCAGGTTACATCGTTATAAGCAAATGACTATTTTCATTAATGTCAAGGCTACCTCGTACTAATTATATGTAAATGTACTGAATCGCAACATATGCAGAATGCATCTATGTGGCAAATACGCTTAAATCACCATGGGAAAACTCGCCGCTAACTACTGACTGCAACTTGGCACTGGGAAATGATAACTTCGCCAAAATCGTCACTCATATGATCTAGCGGCATCACGCTGCAGAAACCAACAAGTCACCCGTCGTAAAAGGCGTGTACTTGCCACCGTAACGCTGCCTCATGACTGAAAGGTCTTGGTGTAAGCGTTTACCATACTCATCGCTAACAAATCCCAAGTTTTCAGGGAAAAGTCAAGCTGATTACGCGAAAAGTGCATCTTGAGTGACATTCGAGCATCAACAGCCCGATAGTCTGCAAGGAGCCTTTTTGTGACGTCTTTGTAGTTATCTGCCTTTGTCGTGGCCAAAAATCATGTGCGTAGTACCTTGAATGATCGCCACGCTTCCAACTCAAAGGAGGTCAACTGGCATTCGAAAGCACTCTCTGCCATTATCCGGCGAATATCAGGCCCAATAAGTATCTCTTCTTTGAGCTTTGCATCATTGATCTTTGAAAACACTTGTTTTAGGTACTGGAGTGCAAAACCATCTCGCTTGAGTGTTTTGACGAAGTTTTTAATCATACCAAACTTGATATGCAGGGATGGCAGATAGATGCGATCAGGTTGCACAAGAGGTGTATGCTTTACACTCATTTTCCCTGCATCATACTCCATCCTCTCTGGACACTTTTCGGTTGTGTAGCGCTACTGTCACATAAACAAATGAAACAGCAATATTTCCTGAAGACTCCTCGCATACTCATTAGTAGTCCAATGACTGAAGTCAGCACAGATGTTCCAACAGTACTTATCCTAGCCCCGTGCAGCGAGTATCCCTGGCATAATTTAGTAAGTCTCCTTCACAATGGTGGCATGCAACGGAGGCACATTTGGGTACACATTTCCACTGCTGTACAGTATGGCGTTAACACTACTCTTGGACGACTCAATGAACAAACGCTATTCATCACTGAGTTGCCGCACACTAACCTCTTTCATCAGTCTTTGCACCTCGGAACAGTAATAAAAGGTTGCTGTCATGTGATAAAAACCGGACAATTTAAGACTTCGCTTTCTGTATGCAGTAACCTTAGTGACTGCAGCAAGTAAATGCCACTGCTGCAATCAAGATGCCATCAACGGCCTTGTGTTTAGGCAAGCCCAGGTCACGTATCAATTCATTCAACTCTGCTCGTGCAATAAGATGTGGGTTAACTATATTAGCTTCAAAGTTTTTGGAGATATCAGAATCAGGGGAATGTTGACGATGCGGAATCACCACTCATCATCAGTGACATGTTCACTGGAGACACTGGAATGGGTAGTGTGCAAGCATGTGGAACAAGTCAAATAGTTGATGAAAAACCGGGTGTAGTGAATTTTGTCCTTCTTCCGGTTGGCGATTCCAACGACACTGGTTAGACAGTGGTAGCGATCTGTCGTGTGATCCTTCGGTTACCACCATACCATGGGGATTGCAAAAGGCATCTTGCCTTTGCACTTGAGGCACTGAGTTTGATGAAGATTACGCGACACACACACACAATATGCGGCGTGCACTTCTTATCCTGATATCCCAGGTTCATCCCGAAATATGTTTGGTAGGCAGACTTCGGAAATGCGACTGCTCTACGACTTTGTAGTAAACTGGGATCTTTTCCAGTTAAGCCCCGCCACTAAGGCAAAATGGGTACACCTGAAAAGTCAAGCCCCATCAATAGTGCAAAAAGGGCACGCGTGAAAAGTTGAGCCCCGCCACTGTTTGCCAGCTCCAGTGTACGTAATGCATGTGAACGTGCCCCATAAAAGCACTCCTTATCCGCTTCTAAGGTCATTTTTGTCCAAAAAGTTTCTACGTTCGCAAGTAAAACCTGACATGAACTTTCTGACGCTTCACCTTTGTAACAAAAATGATTTCGGTCATTGACAATGCAGCGTCTTTCAGCCATGCTCAAGATATCAATTCAGGAAACGCGGACCTCAATCGACTTTCAGTATCAGGTGGATACCCTGGCCAAGATGACTTCTTTCCAACGATTACAAGAAGCTAATGGAGCAATCACAGGCGAGCCGAAGAGACATGGAACTCACTGCTTAGCCGAAATGCAAAATTGCAATTAAAAAGCAACCCGTGACGTGATAGAAACATTTGGTTTGAAGCGGAAGCAATTGGGTGTTTCCCGCCTGAAAACTGCGGTCCACTTTGAGATTGCGCGTCGCAATCCATCCACACAACGCATACTTCAAAGTGACCCTCCATTTGATTTGCATATTCGTAACCAGCTCACTTGGCACTAATATAAACAGCATATTGTATTTCTGTTATGAACGTGATGTTGCACAGTGTAATTAGATGCTGGCCATCATTGCATCACGGCACGTGACCTATTTATCGATTTACAGTCGCAAAATGTTCTCATGATATAGCAGCACTTACATGGCCATAAAAATGGGTTGGAAATTCGTAACCACCACACAATTGTAAAGCAGAATAACAACACCAGAGTCCAATTGGTGCTATGTTGTTGCGGTTGCTTCCGTTACTCTACATCCGAATACAGTCTCAGGAAATCTTATACCGATTAACAAACCACCATCGAATATATCAGCACACTACATTAATTGCAGGGTTTCGTGTTTTTTCTGGTTTTTGGTGACTGACTCATCCGCCTGGAAACCAGTTCCCGTTTTGTATTACCAAAAATAACGAGGCTGACTATAGATTAACTATTGATACTTATGACAGTTCGAAAAGCATGGAAAGAAGTAGAAATTGTGTTACGCCCCGCTAACCCCCGCTGCATTCGGTTTGTTAAGGCTGTCGCTATAAGCCGGATGAAACCACCCCTGTGAGTTCAGAAACAATTATTCATTAGCCTAAAGCTGCCTTGGGCGTAGAGGTGAACTTCGGCATTCGTACTGCACCTCAAGCTTACCTGATCGCACCCACTGTTAGCTATATCTAAGTATATCCGTTATTGTTAAAAGTACTGAGGAGACAATACGAAATGCATGTATCTACCAGCCTTAGTCTTCTTTCCGTGCTTTTCAGATTGTTGCAAGGAACTAACTGGATTAAACGTATAACAGTAATTGCTCATTTCAATCAGCTCTCCAATCATTTGCCGGCAACACGTGCAATCCGACCGCGTTTCTAATAACCCGAGTTGTAGAGTCATTGTTCGCAATTCCCTACCATAACCACTACACTCTATTCTCGACATATATGGGTAGCACCAGCTTCAGCCTTGAGCTCCTCGGGGGTGAATTCTCTGAAGAAAACTAGTGGATAAAATTCCTGTAGCGTTTAATTTGCGATTAGGCACGCGTCGTATTCCTAAATTATACAAAGGATTGTCAATTAATGACGTTGATCCTGGTCACTAATTCAGTGCTGCTATGTCTTAGAATAGCCGGCGGTCAACCTATTGTAATTGATTCCCCAGTCACCTACGTGTAACAACTGAATGTACTCGTCTCTTCCAATGTTAGCATGTATAGAGGGCAATACAATGGACTGCCAGTTGCACCACCGAGTAAGGAAGCGCGTTTGGGAAGAACAACCACTGGAAGACAGGAATCAACAGGTTTCACATCAAATGAGGCAGGCCACGTAGACTACGACGCTGGTCCTCCGGATCGATTCGTCACCGACAATATGACGCGTGTAAGTAGAAAGGCCTTAAACAGCTTATCATTTGAACCTACCCAAATAAACTGCAATTCACTGCGTCATTTGCACTTTCCGTACTCATGGTATGCCGCTGTTCTTACTGCTTCATCGGATGGTCTGAATCAGTCAACTTCATCTACGTCATAATCCGTGATGTCGAGAGCATTTTGCATTGATTGTAACCACATCGAGGAGTCATTCATGTTAATCATATCGTCCTAGACGGAATATGTATACACAGTCCATTTGTTATGTGAACTGGAGCAGCCCATGCACTTAACAATCATTCATACAGTCATTTAAATTGCTATCGGTTACCAGTACATGAGATTTTAATCCGAACAAACACAACACTGCAGCCCCATCAACCTCACGTTGATAACACGCTGTGGTGGCACAAAAGAGATACTCACCTCTTTCCAGGTATGATAAGTACTTGCATAGATCAAAGGTAATGGCGAATATTGTCCAGGAACCGAAAGAGAAATATTTGTTTCGTAGCTTTTACATGTGGATACCTGTGCTTTGAGGTCACTTCCACACCATCTAAACAATTTAGCGGGAAAATATTTGTCTCCCTGGTGACTGCGAGCACTTTAGACCACGTGCATTGCAAACGAACTGCGAGTGTTGTGTCGCCTGTTTTCTCAAGGATTACCTTTGTAGTGAACGCCTTTAGATAACCGGGAAGTAGTATCTTCTACACATAGGTTGGCGAAGCATTTAGTCTGTTTCATCAGTAAATCATGAACATTTCGGCATATCTAATTAACTGCTTGAATTGATTTAAATCGCTACGGTTTCAGCTTTATGCTTTACCTTACGCACGCGCTACAAACATCCCAAATAAAGCAGCCATAGTGCGGAACGCTACGCGTGCATGGAAAAGCAAGCGGAACCGCTCCGTTCTGCCCCCGTGGGCTACAGTCACAGATACATGTGACCAGATTACGCGAGAGTCAGCATAAGTAACAGTAGTATGTTGCAAAAAGCGGATCTTTGATCGGGTAACCTTGTGGTCAGCCAATCCGGCAATAAAAACTTGCAAGAAAGTGGAATTTCAGAGTAAAATAATCAAATAGTCACGAGTGTAGTGCGCATACTACCGAGCTTATTTGTAAGCCGGTTGTTGGCAGTGATGCAGTGGAGCACAAAGTGGACGCCGAGAGCGGTCTGCTGGATACAACGGAATAACTAGATAGTTGCACTTGCTATGATGTTGTTTTCCACTTTGTTTTGGATTTAAATGCATCCTTGTTTGTATGTGAACTGCCTAATTGGGTCTCCTACTCAGGTAACGAAGGGCGCTTCCTGTAAGATCTTTCACAGTGATGATAGGGCATGATGTTGAGTTGTTTCATGTCTAGGTACCGCAATGATCAAACAACAGCATAACATGTTCCCATGCGTTAGTATGCTCTAAGCAACAATGCACGGTACACTTCCCTAAGAGACCAGTTCTATCAATCCCCGGATAGTGATATAAAGCTAAGGAGATGTTGTTCGCCATCAGCTCGTCTGCTCAGTTTGCGTCAGAGTTGAAGAGTGCAGTTCGTGTCAGGCTACATAAGTGAACGGAGAAGGAGTGCTATCTTCGTGCAGTGACCCAGGTGTATCGAATCCCAATTTATGCATTGAATTTTGCAAAAAGTACCGCAAGTCATTCAGCTGCCCTATCCAAACACACACACACACACACACACCAAACCTGCGATTTCATCGTACACGGAAGCACCACTGACAGGGACTTGAAACAGTGAAGCCTGCTGTCCAAAAATTTCCCTGTTGTGTTAGCTTCAACACTTAGGATCAGTCACTCTTGGACATTGTCAAACTTTGATCGCGCATTCCCCGCGTCCTGCACAACACCACAAAAGGAGACTGTGGTTTCATTGCAAACATTGTCAATCACCAGACCACCCCAAGATCCATTCATCTGTAACTTAACTTTTACCATAAAGCAGAAGTCAGCTAATTGGTAGTTATCAATATATGCTTTACATTGGCAAGAGAATTCAAACCAGCATTTTAATAGGTCAACTCTTCACTGAATACCCTTGGCTTCCGCAGTGTCACCTTGCAAGTGTATACTTCACTGTCATCTCATGACGGAGATTTGTATGGGCTTTCCTATGTGCCATGCCGTAACACATTGTGGCCAAACGAATGCCCCACTGCACTTTTCTTGTGTAGAAGTCTCCCCAAGCAATCACGGATTAACTTCCAACTTATGGCTGTACCCACGGACGCCGCAGATTTTTGGGCTACCGTGATGGATTCCACTTTTGCTTCGGGATAACTAGGTTACAGGAGATTTTGCTGAGTGAATGTTACACTAATACATTTTTGGTGTATTTTTCGACCTGTGCAAATTTAGTGTATATTCCTGGCCAATTTTGGAGATCTCCTTGATTGCTTCAACCACTGTCTGTGCCCGCCATCTTGGATTTGACCGACAGTAATCTAACCTGTGTGGGACAGTAATCTAACACAAAATAGGATGAACCAGTCATTTGCTCTTGACCTGACGATCGACGACCAAACGATAGCCGACGACGACGCGACATGTAACCGCGAAACAAGCAGCGTTTATTCAAGCATCACAGCCACAACGCTGGTACACCGAAACGAAGCATTTTATACTAATCAAACTTGTGCTAAGGCGGTAAAAGTAGGATTGGCTTGTAAAAATTGCATTGGCCGGTGTCATTCGAAGTACATGTTGGGCTGTAGAACCGACATAAAGAAACATAATACGTCGGCTTCACTTTGTCTCTGTCCGAAGTGCACGACGATTCCAATAGTAAAATGCGTACAAGTGTTAACATAAAAGTAAGACAGCCTAGCCGGCGAAACTGAACATCGTTTGGATGCAGAAAGTGCTTTGATTTAGGCGACAATAGCGCATACTGTATTTCATCAACACATGATGTTGAGACAATGCTCTTGTCGGCATACCGCCTGTGGACTGAAAACAGTGGGATACACATATTTCCGGATGTTCCAGTTAGTGAACGCCAGCGGGGCAGGAATATTTCAAACGACCACCACACGGAGCGTATTGAAAGCACTATTTTTGTTCATGGCGTGCCAGCTACCGGCATCTAGCAACGAAGAAGCCCACGCTCAAGACCTGGAAGAATGGTGTTACGTCCGTGAAGCTCTCTGTGCGGGAGACGTCATACTTCAGTCGATTAGGCGGTTGCCCGTGTCACCAAATTACAGAGGCAGTAGTCCAAGGATACTGAAGCTAACGGTACAGCCACGGATGGCCGTGAACTTAATCCGTAGCTGGCGGGTACTACGCAATAGACTTCCTTTGGAACTACGACTGAAGACAGCAGCTAGACAGCCGCAGCCACCCGCAACTCAATATCGCCACAACAGCGATTCAGAAACTTGTGCGCTAAAACACGTAGCTATCGAGAAAGCTACCGATGGATTACATACATTAGGTGCAAGTGAGACCAATAACAGATTACATTTATATAGTAATTTGGAAAGTCACCAAAGAACGATTAGGTGCCGGCCTCTCATCGGTCGGCACAAATCCACATCATTCATGTCCTCCTAGTCAACAACTTTTGGCATCCGAGAAGCTTTCCTGCACACACTAACGCTTAAAGTTTACTGAGTAAACTTTCCGAATTGCGGCTGCGTCAAGAGTCCAATGACTGCGACTTCATCACTATAACGGAGACATGGTTACCCCCTGAGACCACACTGTCAAACGTACCAGTTGTTCGTCAAGACCGACTCAACAAAGGCGGAGGGTTGGCTCTGTACTCCCGTAACGACCTCAAATAGGACCTCATAGAGGATCCAGTGAGCAAGGTACAGGTTTCCCTTTGGTGCCGCCTGCGTTTAAAAGGCGAGCACTCCTACTTGGTGGCGTTCATTTACCGCCTTCCTTCCTCCATACTCCAGATGTACTTCCATCTGGCATCCGCACTAAGGCGGGTGATTACCACAACTTACCTTCTCATTATTAGCGCTTTCAACATACACACTCTGGAATCCTAAGAATTTCCCGGAGAACAGTTTAAGGTCGATCTACAAAAGTCTGTTTCCAGTTTCTCGCTGTATCGCCACCTAAACACCAACCAGGTTCCGAGAAAAAGCTAAGCCATCAATAATGGAGCGGCTAGTCACCAACAAAGAACTAATGGTCGGGAGGGTGATCGTCGACGTCCCCTTGGGCTGCAGCGATCATGTGGTCCTACTCTTCGAATACATTTGCCATGCCGAACATCCAGTGTAAATTGCTGACACAGCGAAAACGCCTATACGCTACGACATATTAGCTCGAGTAGGTGAGATAGCCAACTGAAACTTTCTGGTAGACGAGGCACCTGCTAGTGCATGGGAATATTTCGTCAGCCAGTTTGACTCTCTGGTTGCCGAAGCATCGGCGTCTAAGACCTTCCGCCCGAGAAATGTGGTCTCGTCTGCGCGAAACAGGAAACATAAGGGTACAGCGGTGCGAAACTCAGTCTGCCTATCTACAAACTCTCTCCGAGCACCGAGACACAGATGGCCAATGCGCTCCACCTTAACCATTGTACTCAGCTTGTTCGCGAGCATACTTTGGCATGCCAGCGGAAGATGGTAAGGCGTCAGGACTCCAAAAATAAGCTTCTGTATCAACACGTCAACAGTCTACGTAAGCTGCAATGCGTAATTCCTCCTCTTCAATCAGCGGACGGGATCTACACATACACCGAAGGAAACGAGGAATACCCTGCGCCTACAATATGCTGCAACATTTCAGTGAGATCATTGGTCACCTAACCCTATGACAATGGTTGTTTCACATTAAAACGCACACATTAAAATGCACACTTTACGACAGAAGCTGTATTAAAAATCCTATTGAGTATGCGTAAACACAGTTCTCATGGCTTTTCTAATATACACACGAAGATAGTAGGGGCGGTAGGAGAGAGTTTAACTGAGCGTTTGGTTCCATTCTTCTGACACTGATTTGACGAAATGTACATACCTGACATGTGGAAACACGGGATGCTTACTCTTATTTACAAGTCCTTCCAATCCAGCCATCTATCGTCCCACAATCTTACTAACGGTTCTTTCAAACGACATGTAAGCTTTTATTTCTGATGTGTTAACGGTCTACTTGGAGAAAGTTAACTGCCACGCACCGGAACAGCATGGCTTCCGACGAAATTGATCGTGCACTACAAATCGACTACTAGCACAATCCAGCTGGACTGAAGCATTTGACTCTGGCACAGGAATGACGTAGTCTTTCTCGACTTCTCAAACACGTTCGACCGGTCCGACCATATCATTCTACTCTTCAAACTCCAGACCTTTGGATTTGTGATTCTCTCCTAGGATTAAGCAGATGTTTTCTTCTAAATCGGCTCCTGGAAGTACGAGTGCGTGAATTGCTTTCAGATCCCATGCAAGTTGTATACGGAGTATCATGTGGATCGCTACTAGGACCGCGGTTCTCCTTGACGTATATTCACGATATCACATGCCTCATAGGCTCGAACTGCATGCCTCATGCAGATGAAATCAAGGTGTGGAGGGCGATCAATACACCAGATGATATCACAGCAGTGCAAGTCCATCTGGATAAGCTATACGCGTGGTCAATCCAGAATTTATTTAGAATCAATGTAGACAACTGCTGCGTAGTGCACATACGGAAGCAGATGATGTGCAGTTACAAAATCAGAAACTAGGTGCTGCAAACGGATTCTGGCGAAAAGAATCCAGGAGTTTTGGTCCAGGCCGACCTCGGACCTTCGAATCAGGCTGAAACCGCGCCAAGGAGAGGCATTCAACACGTGGGCCTTCTGAAGCATGCATTTGGACCATTCAACCCATCGATTTTTTCACAAATTCTCGGCTCACACATACGGCCACATGTGGAATATGCAATACAGGTCTGGCAGCCATGGCTGAGGAGAGATCTCACCGCTTTGGGGATAACCCAAAGCTGAGCAAGCAAGATTGTCAAAGGTTTGTATAATTTCTTGTGTAATCGAGGGCTTCAAGTGCTCAGGGTCTTTAGCGGACAATATCGGAGGTTGCGAGGGGACCTAAATTTGATTTACCAGATTTTGAGAAATCCTACCCAGACGTGCCGCACTTTGCTAAAGCTCAGTCACAAGAGTAATTCGAGAGGCCACCACTTCAAGCTACCAGAGCAGTACAGTGGTTTGAAATGTGTTGTAATGCTGCTCTACCCTTGTATCAATGGGTTTACAGTCGGGTAGGTTGACATCTCCTAAATGAGGAATTACACTGGTTTGGCAGCATTCATCATATGTCTATAGCCCGTTAAATATGCCGGCGCCGTAAAGGGTAACATTTAACTTATCTAACAGAGGTACTGCTAGTTTTTTGAACTTTGAGACCAGAAGCACATGAGAAGAGCCATAACATATTCAGAGATGATTGTTCTTGTCGCCTACATTTGGCGTTCTCTGGTTCCTTTCAATAGTATTAGGGTGTGAAAATGCCTCGCTCATCATCACCCTTCATATATTCAACTTCACTATAGATGACCTCCTGCATAGTGCCGTGAGAAGCTAGTGGTTAGATGAAGTACAGATACTTCCGGATGACCGTCCACGCGCCTTGGAGTACACGAACGGCATGATTAACGACCAAATGAAAGGCTAACTGTTTGTGGACGACGTGTCACCCGGAATGTAGGACCTAGGCATTAACGCGATCGATGTTGCTGACGATGCTTATATACGCTGAGTATTTTAGAGCGCAAAATGATGCCGAGGAATTGACGCAACTATCAACTAGTTCACATGAGCAGGTAACATTTATTGGACTTAGTAGGTCAGCAACTTTTGTGATGGACACGCAGATGTTACCACGGATGTCTGTGCGCATGACTGGTAGTTGAAAACGCCTACATCTCTGGAGCCGGCAAGATTCCAACTTTTTAATTCACTGCTATCTGTACAGTGCTGCATAGTGATCCACAAATGTTTGTAAATCGATAACCAGTGAGTTGAAAACATGTTGTCCCCATACTTCTCTTCGTTTCTAATGAGGAGGGAATAATGGGTGTTTCATCCAACGTAATTTGGGTTAGAACTGCTAAGGTGAAGTGAAATGCATCGTGACATAAGATCGCCTCCACTACTGCTTCTGACTTCACGCCCATGAAGCCGGCTTCCACTCTTTGGGTCAGCTATATCGTAACGGAATGTAAGTGCGCTTGTTCTGTTGACCACGTCTCCTAACTTCTTCCATCTATCAAATATTCCCCTCTCGCCCTTAGTTTTATCAACCACCACCTGCACAAGACAAGCAGGACCGCAGCGGCCATATTCACTTCAACACGTTGCCGTCTGTACCGACTACTTTGGCCATTGGGACTGGGTTGAGCACATTTGGACCATCGAATTCAATGACAGAAAAGGCGCAGACTCTGTCAGCCTAGCAGATCAGGTAAGTGATTCGGACTACGAACATCTTACTGAAAGTGCAGTCGGTAGATCAGCACAAGCTAACAATCTCACTGTAGACTACATTCCTCATCCCGATAAATACTACAAAGCAAGCAGAGCATTTTAACTGATCCGGTTTAGTTTAGTTGAAATTAACGATGAGGGTGGCATATCTAACATGTCGTTTCCTACAATAATGCTATCAACGCAAGGGCATCTTAATTCCTTCAGTTAATTAAAGCTGTAACGTACGAACTCATTTTCCGGCGCTTTATAATACCGTCATTACTGTAAATGCTGCTTGGGGCAGTAAGTAATCGGTTTTTTTCAATCACATCTAGCCACTTCATAAGTTAAGATATTAGCATATGTTCCCTTCTGCACTAACGTAGCACGTCTTAATGATGCCTCGTTGTCGGATAAATAAAATTAAGTGGCAGCTCGACTATTAGAGAATACTGTGTGTGTGACATGGGGTGGTGACACCAGATATGCTCTAAGTAATTGAACGAACAGGATCAGTGTTGGGATTAGCTCCACCCAAACAGCTCCAAGTCTGTACGCCTGTACTATGCTGTTGCGGACCGACCACTATCTTCTGGGAAGGCGCATTATGGAAGAAACAGTTTCCAAAAACAATGACTTTATACGAGTTACGAAACACTGCTTTACAAGAACCGTTAAGCGATCTGGTGGATCATGAAAAAACGTCAATTGAACATATACTGTTAATAGTTCCAGTAGCAAAATAATGGATTTATCGCATTTAATATAGTATCTCTGCAGTCCCAGTGTTTCCAAAGTTTCAGTGGACGAAAAAATTTAAATCGAAGATATTTCTCGGGAGTTGGATGGAGAGGAATGTCAATTAACAAAATGTAAGTGGCAGAGTGCGTCATCCAACCGACTTTTAAATATGGCTAGCGTGGGTGCAGCAACAACCGACTCGGGGAGACTGTTCCATGGTGGACACACGCGAATGGAAAATGTGATTTCCACGATATTCCAGACGGCTGTACTGTTCTGCTAATTTCAAGTAGTGACCTCGAAGAATGGCTTTACTGCAGTAAAAAGCGGCATACATGATTTGGATTGGGTAAAATCATGTATGCCATGATCAAGTCGTCTTGTGGTCGGCGACACCGCCCGCCAAATACTCCCAACCGTTGCAGCCTTAATTCATACGACAGATTGCGCATTCCAATGACGTGGTTAGAAGCCCGAGGTTAAGGTTTGTTTAGCGCGCTGATGTCGTGCTTCAGCCCTGGGTGCCAGGCTTGAATTGCGTATTTAACGTGGAGGCGTACGTACGCATCAGGCATCTGTCTGAAAATAGTGATGTCTATTGGTCCGAACGCCCACCGTAACACGCCGCTTTGTTGGTTACCAGTTGTCGATATCTTTTCAAAATTACCCGGAACAAAATAAATTATCCTGAAGCAGCATGCCAAGAAATATGATCGTTGCAGTACTTGCTTTTCTAACTTGTAGGAATAGAAACTGCGGTGTTTTATGGTGAGTACCTTACATTTACTCAAGTTGAATTGTAGCAGATTTCGGGTTAACTGATGATATACCACATCTAGGCCACACTAAAGTAAATTCTGATCAGCATCCGCTGTAATTTCGTGTCATATATTGATATCGTCAGCATACAGTGCAAAATTTGAAGCGATATCTGTGCACACTCACACATACATACTATACAAGTTAGCTAGAAGTGGGAAACACCTCAGCTACTGTGCCGTAATACCTAAAAGAAAAGAAGGAAATAAAGTGCAACAGGTGTAAGCCAGCTGAGCTACCGGTAATGGATGGGCATCGTTCCGGTAAGCTACCTTCCGGCTACTATGAAGCAAGAAAAAAATAATTTACTATGGAAAATTATAAAATGTTAAATAATGAGATCGTGGTTGGAGGGGAGGCTAAGAGGGATGAGGTGCGACAAAGAAACTCACAGTACGAACGCCACTGAGGTCGGCTCCTAGCTATATCAGCAAGTGTATCTAGCCAGAGGTGTTCTTCGTCTTTCGGACCCCAACCCGGGAGCTGAAACGTTTCAACTGAGGCCAGCTTCGAAGGGAGGGCCTTCATTCCTCTCGACCAAGTCATTGCTTGGCCACCTCTCCTCTTCTTCCAACCACCTCCCGGCGCACAAACAACACACGTCGCGGATGTTGATGGGCTGGCATGCGTAACACATAGCCGAGCCCCATCGGAGCCTAGTGCGTGAAATGGCGGTGCTGACCGGTTCATTACCTTTTCCTGTGCCGAAACAAGGTCTCGAACACGCTCGTTGCTCACGCGGTGTTCCCACCAGATGTGCGCTAAATTGCGAAGGCACCGGTGGTCGAAGGTAACTAGCCTATTTATGTCTGCTGATCTAAGGGGCCAGGTTTCACAATCGTAAAGTAGGGTCGAACGTACCGCTGCATTGTACACTCTACCCTTAGGGCGAGAGTGAAGTCGCGCCGGCACCATAGGTGGCGAAGGTTAGCAAAAGTGCCCCGAGCTTTTGCTATACGGTTCGTGATCTCATCCTCAATCCCACGGACGCTGATACAACTTCCCAGGTAGTTGAATTTTTGAACGACTTCTATCTGATCCCCACCAACGGTCAGCGAAGGAGGCGGTCCAGGCCAATCTTGGAGGAATGCTTTGCACTTCGATGGTGCAAAGCAAAGCCCAAAGCAGCTGACAGCCAGTGCTAAGCTGTCCAGTGCCGCTTGGCACGTCTGGGAGCTGTCACAGATTAGGGCAATATCCTCAGCATACTCCAAGTCAAGAAGTCGTTCTCCTGGGAGTAGCTCCACACCTTCTAAGTCGTGTCCGGTGAGCGCGATTTTCATGACTTCGTCAACAGCGAAGTTGAAGAGGAAAGATGACAGCGGGCATCCTTGTCTCACGCCGATGGAGATAATAAAGGGCGATGACAGCTTGCCGTAAGCCCTCACTCGGCTTGAGCTAAGCGCGTATAATGCTCGGATAATATTCCCATATTTCTCAGGTACACCTTTCCTGAGTAGACAGTCCCAAAGTGCACGTCTATCCACCGAATCTAATGCACCTTTGATATCGAGAAACACGACTACGCTGGGCCGCCAATATGTGTGACGGTGCTCCAACAACTGACGCAAAGTGAAGGTGTGGTCAATGCAGCCACGACCTCGACGAAACCCGCCTTGCTTTTCACGAAAATAGCTTTCACAAGGGGCAGTCAGCCTGTGAAGGATGACAAAGGCAAGCAATTTGGAGGTGATGGAGATCAGACTGATTCCTCTATGGTTGTCGTATTCCCATCGTGAGCCTCGTTTGTAAAGTTGGGACTATGACCGAGCGGATCCAGCCGGTTGGGACAGTTTCCTGCTTCCACAGTTTCACTAGTAACTCGTTTAAATCATCCACAAGTGCAGCTCCCCTGAATTTAATTAGGGCTGGATGTAAATTATCTGGTCCTGCGGCTTTATTTAACTTCAACAGTGCGACCTCACTTTCCACTTCTGAGCTAGAGGGTGGATCCAAAGGGACAGCCCAGGGAGCGGGAAGATCAGTAGCCGGCGAGAAATCTAACAATTCCGACCGATTAAATTGCCTTTCAAAGTGCTCAGCCCAACGCTCTAAGCGTTTTAACAAGTTGTGGATAGGCTATCCACTCTCGTCACGTATAGTTTCACTAACACCAGATCTCCTGCTGCCCGTTTCCCGTAGCAGCGGAAGAACTTACGATGGTTACCAAGGGCAGCGGCCATTTCCATCTCAGATGCACCATGAGACCACCAGGATTCGCGGTTTCTCTTCGAGCTAGCACGGAGTTTTGCCCGTAACCCTTTGCGAGTTTCATTGTGTTCGCTTCCAGCCGGAATATGCCGGTGAGCATGGAGAAATTCCAGAGACTGCGAAGAGACCCAATGTCCATGTTGGCTAGTAGACTTACCACAAGAGGATTTGCTTGCTGCCAGTAAGGACTGTTGAATATGAGACCAGTGGGCTTCAACTGCATCCAGTGAGCGCTTACTCAACTCGCATGACAGCGTATTTGATAAGCATTCAGAACAGCTGGTTTCGCCAGTTGGCTGGTGTCAATGCTCTCACATAGTCATCTTGGGCGTCAACCAGAACGCATCCGCAGGTCAGCACATACAAGTGCATTGTCGGTGTCCACATCCGTACTTCAAATCGACCGACAGTTCTGGACGCAGCCTCTCCATCTTTAACTTATCCTAATGTGATGGATTTGCGTCCATAGCCGGTGCGAGGCTGGTGGGCGCCAACTCACCCTCCGGCGGGTGTTGCGTCGGAAATGAGTGCTCGCAAGAAATAAGCGAGCATCTTCACACAAATGAAGTAACCGATCACCGTTATCATTACGGTAGACTACACCATGTTGGCCGCCCAGGTGCAGTTCATAAGTGGATAATTTTCCAACTTGAGCGTTCAGATCCCCAGCCAGCACTACAGTGTCCGTGCTTCTTCTGTGGCTAAGGAGCTCGTTCAATAGGCGGTAGAAGTCGTCTTTTACCGAACCATCGCTACAGTTTGTCGGTGCATAGGCAGCGATAACGAATAGACACCTGTTAGTCATACGCGACTTCGAAGCTTTGAACGAGCCAGCCAATCGGACCGCACACAACCGGCTACTGCTTGGAATCCAGTCAACCAGAGCAACTTTAGTCCGGGGACTCAGGGCAATACCAACACCGGTTTGGCCGGTGCTCGTAGCTGCATCGTCACCGGATAGGCGCAATGAGAAAGTGCTGCTAGTGTCACCTGAAGGGGCCCGCACAGAGCTCGAGTCTTGCAGGCGGGTCTACGATAAGCAGCAGATATCGATCGAGAGTGTCTCTAATGTTCGGGCAAGTGCTACCTGTTGACCGATCTGAAGCAATGTGCGTACATTGAGGCATGCCAATCTGAAGGAGGATCGAGGGCTCCAAATGGAAGTGGATGAATTGGGCTTGGCCGCTTGGTTGGACATGGACTTGTCTACAGGACAGGAATGAC